AGATGTCACAGGGGTCACGGCGGTGAGTTTGCTGTGCCCGTGTAGCTTTGGGAAGAAGACAGGCAATGTGGGCCACTCTTGCCACTCCAGAGTCCCTGAAGCAGGAAATTGTGTCGAAACAGAAACCTCCAGACGGCCAGCTGGGTGGGTGAGGGTTAGTCTCTAGGTGCCACCACACCCTGAGAAGAGACTGGGCAGGGCCCAGCATCTGCTCTGTGTCTGAGTGCCACAGTGGGGCAGGGCCTCTCCCCATGGGCAGGGTGCTGGGCAGGACTTTGTGCACTGCCTTTCATACTCAGTTGCTCCCAGAGTCTCGCGACAGCTACACCCCTTTGACAGCTGAGCTCTTAAGGCCTCAGGTGGCCCAGTGGTGCCAACAGCTAGCCTTGAGTCCAGGCCGCAGCCTCCTTCTCCATCCCTCATGTGGGCTCATCTCACCCCGTCGCAGCAGTTTCCTGAGGGCAAGGCAGTGCTCGGCGTGCTGCCCAGTCTGCTGGGCCAGTAGGCACTCTGTTAGATATGTGGGTATTCGCCCCATGGTTCTCTCACCCGGCCCAGAGTGCTCTCTGGTGACCACGAAGTTCTCACTTAGGGCTGCCTTCTGGACTGTTCTCTGCTGGATGACCTGTGCTGCTGACCTCTATCCCCTACACTCAAATTTCTGTACCCCTCTGCATTTCCAGTGCATGGAGACTCCTTTTCTGGCACATTTCTGGACAGGCCTCCCAACCCACCTGGCTTGTTCAGCCTCAGCCCACTGGGGAGCAGGGGCCAGGCACTTGCTAAGGGCTGTTATGGGTCCCACAGAAGACCTCCGGGTCTGTGGGTGATAAGAACATCAGTGAAGATGAGCTGTCATAATATTCTCCATCATTATTGCTGGTTTAGTGAAGCTCCTGACTGGGGCTGGGGCCAGGGCATGGTCTGAGGGCTGCCTGGCAAGAGAGGAGGACTCCTGGAGTATTCCGACCTAGTGGAGACCCTGCAGGGAGCTCTGGCGGTGTGGGTGAGTATCCAGCTGCTCACCAGAGGGCCAGCGGCTCACCCCACTGGCAGCCCCATGGGAGGAAGGTGGGCAGTCTGCTCCCATAAAGATGTACAGTCTTGAGAGCCCAGTCGGACAGGACCACTCTGTCCCATAGGGTCAATATGAGTCGGGTTGACTCCACAGCAATTGGTTTGGTTTGAGTCTACTTATTGGGCCGCAGTGATCTTGTAGGCAAAATGGGAAGGCTATTGTAGGGGCTGCACATGGGGCAGCTCACTGCAAGGTCAAAGTTGGGATCCAGCCACTCATCCCGTAAAGAGTTACAGTCTTGGAAACCCTCAGGGGCAGTTCTACTCTGCCCTATAGGCATGCTGTGAGTCATCATTGACTGGATGACAGTGAATTTGTTTGTTTTTCAGTTTAGTCTGTTCCCGTGAAGATTTAAAACCCCCAAATCCTATATCGGGTCACTATAAATCAGGAATCAACTCAATGGCAGTAGGTTTGGGATTTTTTGGTTCAGAAGAATCTTGTGGGTGTGGGAAGGTAAGTTCTCAGCAGGAGGTTGAAGCAGAGGGGACCTGTTCCCAGCCCTGGTGTCAGGTCTGCCAACAGGGCTGGTGCTTGAAATCAGACACATGTCTCGTGAGGTCAGGCCTTTGCCTGCTCTATTCCCTCCTGGTGCCCCGGTAAGGCCAGCCAGCCAGGGGTGTCCAGCTGCCTTTGCAGGTGCAGGCATGCTGGCAGGGAGGAAGCTATCCTGCTGGAGTGGAAGGCCCCTGCCGTTCACACGGGACTGCCCCCTGGCCACAGGAGCTAGGGCAGGGGTGAGGTGAGGGTAGGTATCTTCTCTGAATGAGGTATCTGTGGAAAGGTACAAATTGATTGGCCTGGGAGGGTAGGGTTGCCTTTCAGCTGTGTGACTGTGGGCAGAGCAGTTTCTGAGCCTCAGCTTCCTCATCTGTAAAATGGGAACAAGCACTCACTAGTCCCTAGACGTTGTCAGGCTCTGACAGTCTGTGGTTCCCTGAGGAGCCTCGCTCAGTGCTACTAGGAGCCTCTGTAGGAGGACCGTGTGGGGAGCACTTCTCGCTCGCTCTGTCCAATCCTGCTTCCAGCCTTGCTGTTGGAGATGCGGACACCCTCTGGGGAGCCTCGCAGGAAGGAATGTGTTGGGAGGTGGGCAGTGTAGGGCTTGGCAGGGGGCCCTGGCACTCCAGTTTGATACCACAGGGCATGGGTCCCCTAGGCAATGAAGGGTAGCACTTGGAGGACTGAGAAGCTGTGTCACTGGTCTGAGAATAGCCCTGGAGCGCTCTGGGCCAGAACCACCTCAGGTCACCTGCAGGGCCTGGTGAGACCACAGCCAAGGGCCACTCTTCAGCTGGCCTTTCTTCTTGCTGGACTGGAAAACAGGGTCCCTTCCCAGTCAACAAGGGCTGACGGCACATGGCATGAACCTAGGGAAACCACGCGCCCTGCTGTGACCTGGCTGAGTAGACTATATGCAGGCCCCGCCTCGCTGGCTTCTCAGAGACTTGCTCTGATCTCTGACACACAGTTTTGGCCAATCTGGGGGAGGGGGTGGTATGCAGCCTGTGCTGTGGTCCTCAAACCTCAGGGGAGCCTTCTTTGCCCTGCACTTGCAGCTTGGCCACAGCCTCTGGATTAGCACAGGCTTCTAGAACCTTCCAGAGGAACCTGGTGCAGACTGCCCCCGAGTCGGCATGTGTTCTCCTCTTTGGAAGTGAAAGTGGAGGCCTCCGAGCTAGTTTGCCAGCCCAGGAGAATAGCACCAGCGAAGCGAGAGGGCGGGGGATGCGGGGTGTCCAGGAGAGGAGTGGCCAGGCCCTCTGGATGAGAGCCCCATGGAGTGACCTTGGCAGCAGCCACAATGACAGATCTAAGAGGAAGGACGGCACCGTGAAACATGATTTCAAATGCCCCTTCCCAGTAAGATGGATTTGCTTCTGAGCACTGGCATTTTTAATCGTTCCCTTTCCTCGTGTGCTCAGGTGTTTTCTGCCATCTTTTTGAAGATGATAAATCGGGATATACTCGATACAAAAGAATTTCAAACATTCCTCGTAACTAGAAGAATGCCCTTGAAGACTAGGGGGACTCCGTCTGTGTTGGGGCCATGCGTCTCCTGGGGATTTTTTCTAAGGTGGGAAAAGCTCTCTCCTCGCTTCCAGCATGGGTCTCTAGATGACCATGGAAGATGGGGCACAATCCTGCACAGGCCCAAACCCAGGCGGTGAGTGAGGTACTAGGGGCTATTGTACACATGTGAAGTTAATCAGAGAAACTTCTAGAAGTCCCAGGACGCATGACAACCTGGAGTCAGACAGTGGTCCCAGAGCAACCACCCCAACTGGTGCCACGGCAGGGCCTGTGAGTGTGTGGTTGAACGCTGGGCCCCGAGGGCTCTTGTGGGCCACTTTGGGGCACCTCTCAGCTGTGCCTCTGCAGCAGCTGTGCCCCTGGATCCCCATAGCCCTGGCCTTGGGGTGGCCCGCCAAATGTAAAGAGCAGGATTCAACCCACATGCTGCTGTTTGGAACAGCAGCCTGCGGAGTGTGTGGTGGCCAGCCGGGGAAGGCTCCCTAGAGCATAGGAGCTTGAGGCTGGAGTTGGGACCCTGCCCAGACCAGCTGAGGAGCTGTGCAGCCGACTACCCTGTGACGATGGAGGTCATGGCATCCCCGTGCTGCCCGGGAGAGAGGGGGAGAAGGTAGCGTGAGAAAGCCCTGCAGACGGTGCTTTGCAGGTGTGGGTGAGGAATTGGTGGTGTCTCGTTTCCCTGCTTCCCGATGGATAAGAGAGCCGTTGCTTTAGCAACAATCGCGTCCACACCCCTTATCTCGTTCTCTCTGCCCAAGGCCGGTGTGAGGCCTTCGGGAGGCACAGGGGCCCTGCGGTTTTCCACTCCACTCTGGGTACTCAGAGGGCTGAGAAGAAGGGCACGCTGGAAGCCATTTTGTCCTGAGCGGATCATTGGTCCAGCGCATGTCTTCTGCGAGCCAGGCAGCACGTTGTCCCATTTCCTGCACCTCCTGTGCTTCTTTCCGCCCACAGGGTGCCGGCGCCTCACACCTGGTCTTTCCCTCTTGGTGATAAACTGCCTCTTTGTGAGGAGAGCAGTGGCGCTGGGGATTATGTTCCCAAAGAGCGCCCTGGAAGGGTGTCGTGCCCTGCCCTTGCTTCTAACTGACGATCAGGTGGGGTGCTTCCCGGCTGACGTTGGTCCTGGCGCCCGAGGTTGGGGCTCAGCGCCTCTTGGGTCCCCAGCTTGAACAAGGAGTAGACCCTCGAGCCCTCCCTCCTGCCCCCAGGCTCTGCCGGGGCTGCTATGACCACCCTGTGGGCCGGAGTTCTCCCCTTACACATGTGCGCGTGCGCACACACTCATACACATACACACACTATACTCACGCATACACACACACTCACACTCATTCACTCATACACATACACTCACACACACACTCCTACACATACACACACTATTCACATATGCACACTCACACTCATACACTCATGTTCACACTCATAAACATTCGCTCATACACTTATACACTCACGCACTGTCATACACACACACTCGCACACTCACTCACTCACACTCTCTCTGACTCGATGTGGACGAGGTCCGAGGACACAGTGGCGTCACCTGGGCTACTCCTGGGGCCTGCTTTTCCTCTGCAGAGGGGTGTGCTCAGCTAGAGGACAGGGGGGCTCTGTATCTGGGAACGTGTGTGGATTTCCAAGCAGAACCGAGGACTGGAAGTTCAGGCGGCATTCCCCTAAACCAGCCCGAAAGCTCTTTGGGGAGTCCCACCTCTTTCCCTGTCACCATTCGGAGCTGCTTCTCTCTCTCTCTGCTGCCCGGTTGTCCAAAGGCAGCTTAGCCCCCTCTGTGCGGTGGCCACCCACAGGCGTGAAGACGTCCGCTACCAGGAGGGGTCGGGATGGCGACCCTGACCTAACCCTGTTCTCTGTCCCCTTCCAGGCACACCTTCTGGCAGTTTCGCCATGAAAACCCCCAGACCCGGGTCGGGGACCCTCCCCCCGAGGGGCTCCCGGGCTTCAACAGCGGGGTGGTGCTGCTGCACCTGGACGCCATGCGCCAGTCCCCGCTCTACGGCCGCCTGCTGGAGCCGGAGCGCGTGCGGCAGCTGGCCGACAAGTACCACTTCCGCGGCCACCTCGGGGACCAGGACTTCTTCACCATGATCGGCATGGAGCACCCCGAGCTCTTCCACGTGCTGGACTGCGCCTGGAACCGGCAGCTCTGCACCTGGTGGCGGGACCACGGCTACCGGGACGTCTTCGAGGCCTACTTCCGGTGTGAGGGCCACGTCAAGATCTACCACGGCAACTGCAACACGCCCATCCCCGAGGACTAGCGCGCGGGACGCCCCCCTCCAGAGGGGACTGGCCCTTGGGACCCTCGTACTCCCGGGAGGTGGCATCGGGAAGGGCAGGAACAGCCCCCGGAGACAGGCCCGTGAGCTAGAAGGCAGCGCAGATGGAGAGAAAGAAGGAAATAAAACGAGGCTCCTTGCCTTCAGCCCCCAAGGAATGGACGGACGCCCCCTTAGCGAACCCACCTTTCTTGGACCAGAGATCAGCCTCCTGTAGACGGACAGGCTTCTATCGTTTTGCCAGAGAGAACACACTCGGTGAGTTCTGCGGAGTCAGATGGGGTTTTAACCAGCCTCCCGGCCCGCCTGCCTTCCGCACGCAGGAGGCCCAGCGCGGATTCTTGCTGCCCTCTGCGACCCATAGAGGTTCTGGACCGCCGCCTCCGGGGGGGCCTCCTGGGCCAGCTTGTGGCACACATAAGAAAATGATTGTCATTATTAGGACTCACAGCTTCTCCCCAGCACCCCACTACCCCTTATTCATCCAAGGGCATCCACGTGACCAAATTGTACTCAGTAATCAAGCCCACCACCCTATGGACATGCCACGGGATCTGCAGACCTAGGCAGGTTCATCCGAAAGGGGAGCCCCTTCTCAGCCTCCCTGTCCCACCCCCCCAAACCGGAGAGCAGCCCTGGGGCCTCGGCAGAGGTGTGTCAGAGTCCCAGTGCCTGTGTTTTGAAAACCTCCCTTGCTGCCTTCTCATTGCACGGTGCCCTATGGGAAGACGTGCTGTGAGCTGCTTATCTTATTTTGTTTCAATTTCATTTCCTTTTTCCTTTCTTTCCACCTGGGGTGAGACTAGGTAATAAATCACCTCCGAGAACACAGTGATTGAAGCTCCCTGTTCTCTAATCACCGCTTTCAATTGCGTGGAGGCTCTGAATCAAGCCCGTCTCCAGTGGCACCTGGCCTTCCTGGTCTTCCTGCGCTTCCTTCAGCAAAGTGTGCTTATAGCAGGACTTGAAGGACCGCAGGGGTCATGTCTGCAAGGACATTGGGGATGGCAGGGTTGTTGTCTTAGGATGAAAGCAAAAGAGAGGTCCCTTCCCGCCCTCCTTTTTTGTCCAGTTACATCATCATGCCCTGGTCCAGGGGAACCCTTTCTCTCCTGACTCCCAGCTGTGGCGAATTGGCCTGTTGGTTATTGGATTCCCTATTTATAGCTACCAATTACTGAATGCCAAGCATCATGGTGGGGTCGGGAGTCACACACACTATCAGTACTGCTCATCAAAACACCATGGGGTAACTAAAGTCCTAGTATTCATTGTAAGAAAACAATAAGCAACGTGGACTGAGTCATGTGTTACATGTTCATGACAGCATTTTTATAATAGAACTTGAAGTATTGAATAGGACAGTGGGCAAAATATGTGTTTCATCCATTTAATGGAATCCTTTAGGTAGCCATTCAAGACCATATTTTTAAGACTAAAGCTTTGGGAAATGTTACAATGTGCTATTAAGAACGCAAAGTATGAAATTATATGTATAGTACAATCTTAGTTTTATTTTTAAATTATAAACATCTGTGCATATACACATACATATGCATATGCACATACCTATGCATAAACATATATGCATGTGTGTGTAGAGAGAGCAAGTGAGTGAGCCTATTCTTTATTCTGATAGACTCCTAAGAAACCAGGTGTTTCAAATACTGTATTAGGAAAACCATTATTTTAATGGGAAAAAAATGGGTTCAAAGCTAGACAATTTTACACTCACATTAATGAACAAATATTTTTCCTGTAATACTTTCAATAATAAAAATGTTTCTAAAGCTATACTTGCAAGTGTATTTTGTTCTTTTTTTTTTTTTTCCAAACAGTCTTTTGGGTATATCATTCACAGTCTATTTTATTATTGCCAGGAAAAAACCATACATTTCTTGATCAAATGCTAAACAAAGTCTCCTCGCATACTTTTGAGATCATCCAGCCCCAAATTTCCCCTTCATCCACCCCCAGAGCCCTTGACCTTCCAGCTCCGGGTGAACGGCCAAATAATGCTCCTTAGCAAATCTCACCAGACCAGGCTCTTGCACCTGCGTCTGCGTCTGCGCGTTACCTATGCTGGTTTTTGACAGTTCCCACAAATCCAAACCAAACCATTGAGTTGCTTCTTCCTCATCCAAAACTCACCCCAGTCATGTCAAGTCTAACCCCAGCAGCCCTCGGGGCAGGGCAGAGCTGCCTGTGTGGGAGTAGAACGCTGCTCCGACAGAGCAGCTGGTGGGTTCGGACTGCAGATCTTACCGTTCACGGTCCAATGGGCAACCCACTCCACCACCAGAGAACCTCCTTCTGACGGCAGAGTGATCCCGAATAGGGTTTCCGAGACTCTCAATCTTCACGGGAGAGGACAGCTGCATCTTTCTCCCTCAGAAGTCTGAAAGGAGCCTGTCTACTAGGATTAAGGTGATTTCCCCTCAGTGTTTCTATAGTTTGCACCATGAAAATTAATTCTAAAATAAAGACTAAATCACTTAAAAAGTTAATACCCGCTCCCCTCCTCAGGTAGTCTCATGGTAAAGTCCCTGGATGGTCACATTGCCATCGAATTGATGCCGACTCACACTGATCCTCTAGGACAGGGTAGAAATGCCCCTGTGGGTTTCCAAGACTATTAACTCTTTGCAGTAGTAGAAAGTCTCACCTTTCTCTTGAGGAGTAGCTGGTGGTTTTGAACTGTTGACCTTGCTGTCTGAAGCCCAAAGCTTCACCCCTGTGTCACCAAGTACAAAAGGGTAATGTGCTTGGCTGCTCACTGAAGGGTGGGAGGTTCTTGTCCAGTAGCAGGTGCCTCAGAAGAAAGCCTTCCCCAAACTCAGCCATCGAAAACCCACAAGGACATGGTGCTACGCTGCTGTGACTCGGAGGCGCTCTAGGACACTGGTTTCTTCTGGCTCTTTTCACAATCATGGCTGACTTTTGAAATGGTGGACATCACCCGAAAGAAAACAATCTAGGCTGCGTGGGCGCTGGGTCTTCAACTGCCCCTACTGATGCCCTAGTTCGCTACAGGGGAGTGATCCTCTCAATGTAAGCCCAGCCTGCTTTCCTTTTTCAGACACCATCTTTTGTGTTTACACAAAGTCCGTCTGACACACGATAATGGCTTCGGAAAGCTTGAATAGGTGTTGAAAAGATTTATTCTTGTCTGTGCGTCAAGCCAAACAAACCCAGCAGCCCCTTCAATCGCATGTCAGGCAAGCAAAGAATGGGCGTGTGGGGCTCAGTGGGCATCCAGCCCAAGCACACACGGAGTCTGCAGGTTACAGTAGCAAGTGCAGCCGTGACCGGACACCTGCTTTGACTGAAGGCCAGCCCTCGGTTCATGTGGACTCCCTCCTTGACCTTCGTGTGCAGAGTCTGGAGTTGGCAAGACAAGCAGAAACGCCCAAGCAAGCAGGCTGCCACAGTGGAGAGAGCCCCACTTGGAGCCAGGCCTGGCTTTCAATCCGTGTCCTCCCTCGCGACCTGGACAAGGTCAATTCTCTCGGTTTTTAGAAATGGGAATCATAAGACCCCCCTCACAGGCCAGTTGTGGGAGCAAATGGGACTTGGTGGGCTGTGAAAGAATACATAAGAGAATTATGATTATTACTTAAAGGACTCATGTAGACTACCAAATTATCGTCATTTCCGGCACCTCCCGGTGGCGCTATCACTGCTCTAAGGTTAGTGGATGACCACTTCCTTGGCTGAGGGATCCCTTGAGGGAGAGGGATGGATGGGGAGTGGGGGCGCTGGGGAGCTGTAGCAGGGTGGTGAGGAAAGAGGATCAGGACCGACCCAGCAGCTCAGGAAACTTGATCAGTTCTTTCAAGTCGGTTCCACCTCATAGTGGCCGCATATACACCAGGACGGAACCATGCCTGGTCCTGTCAGCCTCACGACTGTTCTTCTGTTTGGGCCCATTTTACGACCTCGGTGTCCATCCATTTTCTGGAGGGCTTGCCTCACTTCCGTCTTCTCACTGCCCCTCTACTTTCCCACGCATGACGTTCTTTTCCAGGGACTGGCCTCTCCTGACAATATGTCCACAGCCTGTGAAATGAAATCTCACAATCCTCGCCTCTAAGGAGCATTCTTCTTGGATGGACTTCTACCAAGACAGATTTGTTCGTTTGGCAGTCCACGGTACTCCCAAGATTCTTCACCAGCACCATGATTCAAGTGCCTGGATTCTGCCTCGATCTTCCTTATTCAGTGTCCAACTTTCACATGTAAACGAGGCAATTGAAAATACCATGACTTGGGTCGGACGCACCTCAGTCCGCAAAGTAACATTCTTGCTTGTCAACACTTTAATAAAGAGGTCTTGTGCAGCAGCTCTACCCACTGCAATGTGTTTGATCTCTTCACCGCTACTTCCACGAGCACTAACCCAAGCAAAATGAAATCCTTGACAAATCCAATCCTTTCAACAAGTGTGTCTTCTTTATATTGAGTTGTAATCCATACTCAAAGCTGCAGTCCTTGATCTCCCTCAGCACGTGCTTCAAGGCCACCTCACTGTCAGCAAGCACGGTTGTGTCCTCTGCATATCGCAGGTTGTTAATAAGCCTTCCTCCAATCCTGATGCCACACTCTTCTCCATAGGATCCAGCTTCTCTGAGGGTTTGCTCAGCCTACAGATTGAGTATGATGGGAGGCTACCGTCCTGATACATGGGGTGCTTGTTTTAAATCATACAATATGCCTTTGTCCTGGCCACAGAGCTACCTCTTGATCCACGTGCAGGCTCCGCAGAAACACGATGAAGTGCCCCAGGATTCTCATTCTTCTCAAGGCCCTCCATTGCTTGTTATGGCCACCCAGTCAAATGCCTGGTATTCTCCGCATTGAGTCAAGATTCATCTCACACCAGCAATAATATCCCTTGTTCCTCGTCTTCCCGGAAACAGCCCGAACTTCTGGCAGCTCCCTGTCAATGTCCTGCCGCAAGTGTTGTTGGGTGATCTTCAGCAAAATGTTACTTGCGTGCGATAACATTGATATTTGATTCATCATTCTAAACTTTGAGCATGCTTTCTTCCGAATGGGTGTAACCATGGAGCTCTTCCAGTCAGTTGGCCGGGTAGCTCTCATCCAAATTTGCTGGCACAGACAAGTGAGTACTTCTCATGCTTCATCAGCATGCTGAAGCATTCCCATTAGGATTCCATCAATTCCCGGAGCCTTGTGTTTGGCCAAGGCTTTCAGTGCAGGGAAATCTATAAGGTGCGGATAACCCCCTGTCCGATCTGAGCCTTAGTTTCTTCATCTGTGCCAGCAGTGGGGTACATAAAGGGTTGGGTTGTCTCTGATTGCGGTTAGCAGGTGTTATATGCATCCAGAGGTCTTCCCAGGTGCACCGCGGCAGAGCGGCCCTGGCCCCACAGGGCGTGATAAGAGGCCATACCAGCCGCCACCTGAGGTGCTTGCAGCACACCAAGGGCCTTCTTTTCATTTGGTCCGACTCGGCTCTGAGGGTGTCTCTACCTGTTCCCCCTTGCTGGAGGAGAAGAAAGAAGCGTCTTTCTTCCACTTCACTCTCATCCATTTTTTGGATTTCTGGTCTCGAGGTGGAGTCCCCCCTCCCTAGTCCAGGCCTGGCCCCATCATGGCTCCCTGCAGGGGTCTGCCTTCTCCCGAGGATTTATTCCTGGTTAGGGCCGTGTCCCTCTCCCATCCACCAACAGGCGTCTTTCTAAGGTGCTGCTGCTCTTTGTTGTCCAGTGTCACCCTCTAGTCAATTCCTACTCATGGTGACCCCATGTGACCGAGTAGAGCTGCCCCAGCCACAGAAACCAAACCACTGCCATTGAGTCTGTTCCAGCTGAGAGCCCCTGCCCAGGGTTCTGAGGCTGTAAACCTCTACGGGAGCAGGCAGCCTCACCTCTCTCCTGAGGAGCGGCTCCGAGCTGCCGTCGAGCTTCGGAGCTCGGTGGTGCTGTGGATTCGGTGCTGGGCTGCTAACCACAAGGTTGGGAATTCAACCCCCTCAGCTGCTCCATGAGAGAGAGCTGTGGCTGTCCACTCCCCTCAGGTTTCACAGTGTCAGAAACCCTGTACAGGGCCGCTCGGAGGCCGAATCCACTTGGGGTCAGTAGGTTTGGCTTGGTTTAACCATTTCCTGAATCATTCTGCATGCTTCAATTTACGCCACGTCAAAAATTAACTGGGGGGGGGTGGTGCGGTTATTTTATTTAAAAAAAATTTTTTATTGGGGGGGCTCTTACAAATCTTATGACAATCCATCATTTCAATTGTATTATGCACACTTGTACATATGTTTCCATCAACATTTCCAAAACCTTTTCTTTCTACTTGAGCCCTTGGTATCAGTTCCTCTTTTTTTCCCCTCCCTCCCCCATCCTCCCACCCTTGTGAATCCTTGATCACTTAGATCTTATTGCTGTTATTTTGTGTCTTACACTGTCCCTGTTGTCCCCCTGGGAGGTGAGCTATATATCCAACCTTGTGATGGGTTCTCCTTTCTCCCTCTTCCCCCTCCCCTCCCCCTCATGATATTGCTACTCCCACTACTGTTCCTGAGGGTTTGCTCTGTCCTGAATTCCATGTGTCGAGAGCTCTTATCTGTACCAATGTGGGCACTCTGGTCTAGCCAGATTTGTAAGGTAGAACTGGGTCGTGATAGTGGGGAGGAAGAAGCATTCAGGAACTAGAGGAATGATGTGTGTTTTGTCGGTGCTATACTGCACCCTTGTTGAATTGTCCCTACCTTGTAACCATTCTGTGGGGGGATGTCTGGTTGTCTATAGATGGGCTTTGGGTCTCC